CATAAATGTTTTGACAAAAAAAAAACAATAAATTTAAATAATAATAATGAAAGATGGTAAATGACTTGAAATAACTAGAGATGCTTAAAGCATCGGGATATGCCGTAACGTAACTGAGTTATAACTTATTTCGACTTTTTGGTTTAAATTTCGGCATATCAAAACATGCGACTGTGATATTGATATAACTGTGCAATATTGTAACTGTATTATATCAGATATGTAACTTAATATAGCTTTATTCTGCGCATAATTTTTACATATAATTTTTATATACATACTTGGCTATATAAAATTCAAATATATTTCGATTTGTACAGTATTTATGTTAATTTATCACTTTTACTTTAATTATTCAACCTCATTTAATATCCACGCCACCAAGCTTGCAGGATTATAATCAACTTTTCCTGAACCCAGCCAACATTCTGCCTTGGTTTTCAATAAACGTATTTCATCATAATATTCAAACTCAGCACACATCATATTCACATAAATCATAAATTTCATGCATTTGGCAACAAGTTCAAGGTCGCCTTATAAAGATATTTTACTGCCCTACGAAATTCTTTGATATCTGTAATTATTTACTCCATCTTAATTCTTATGATTGTTGGTTTAGGAACAAGGAACTGCCGTTTGAGAAAAAAGTTAAATGTTCTCATAATTGGTGTGAATTATACGAAGCTAAACATTATGGTCATACTAGTCATAATTCTTATGAATGTTGGTTTAGAAAAAAGGAACCTCCGTTAAAGAAGAAAAATTTAAATGCAGCAACTTCTAAAAATTTTACTTTAGTTCAAGAAGAAGAAGGCTGGGGCCTCCCATTGAAAAATCCTCCATTCCCATGGAACAAATCACCTGAAACAAAAAAGTCACCTGTGATTTGTGTTTTGCAGGATTCTGTAAAGAAAATGACAATATTGAATGGGTAATCATTGGTCTTGGGATGATATTCATTCGGACAAATATTTGCGCTATTCATTTTGCTTTAAAAATAACTACAATACTTATAATTGCAAATTTAAAAAAGCATTATAAATTGAGAAAGAAAAATTAAGATGCGAGAAATGTTCTAAAAAATGTAAACGGCATTAATTTACTATGCAAAAGTGCTTTTT